TAATATTGTAACTATTACGTTCTTCCAGCAGAATCTTCAATGCTAGCCTTCAAGTTCTTATTTTCTAACTACCTGAAACTTGGTTTTGTTGAGTCTGTCATTAAATGCTAATACATGTGATTATTCAGTTAAAATATTAATATATAGGGGCCTCCCTGGTGGCACAAGGGGTTAAGCACTGCACTATGAAGCAACCCGCGGCCTCTGCAGCAGGAGTTCGATCCCCAGCCAGCCAGGAAGATTCCTACATGGCGAAGCAGACCTCTCCTGTCTCACCCTCTGCTCCCCTCAGCAGAGTCTTTCAGTCAGTCTGCTCCCCACTCTGTCTCTGGTGAATCCTGTCATCCCTGTTCCTCCCCGCATCTCTGGCCTGTACCCCAGCTCTTGTATGCATAAATAAATAAGTCTTTTTTAAAATATATTAATATATTTCTTATTTCAGCCTTTTTCCTCTATGCCCCCTCTGTCACTGTGAAAGCACCCCCTTTTAAAATGCTGCATGAAATCACACTGATCTCTACTTTCATTAAGATTAAACTTTATTTTAAACTCTCTTGTTCTTGTTTTGTTCAACCAGAATTCAAAGGAAGAACAGATCAATTTTCATGTGCCTTTCGTAATTGCAATTTTCAATACCTCAATCATGCCCCTTTATACTGATTTCTCTTTTGCAGGCTAAATAATCACTTTGAGTCAGTTGCTGCAGTGAAACTTGAAACCTGATCATTGAAGAAGCCTGCAATTTAGCAGAAAACAAGGCACACCAGGATCTTCTGCTCCAGCTGCACATTGAGGATTCCAGTCTCTTTCTGAAAATGGCCTTATATTTCCAGTTAATTTAGTTGCTATAATTCTTTCCTTAAACAAGTTTGCAAAATTGTCTTTTTATGAAATATTATATTTACCCACAACTCATAGGCAACTCACTAGTCTTATGCTGTAACATTGCTTAACCACAGTTTGAGGGAAAGGACATGTACTTGTTAAATACGTTTTTTGGTTAACCCCTTTTACCTGTCTATCTCATTGCATTATTTGGAATTTTGAGTCGCTTCATTTTTGGAAATGATGCTGTTAATTTACAGGATTGATGCTGCTAGTTGCTGGTCTGAAAAAGCCCCCTGAAAATATTTTGTTGTTGCTGTCATTTGTCTTTTTCTACCAAATCTCTCTCATATATATATATATATATATGGGCAGGACTGGACACAGTGCAGGTTTTCTGATCCCATGCAGCCTGGGTAAAGGAGGAGTCAGAGTTCTCAGTGGCTTTTTTGCAGGTCTTTTATTGGGGTTCACCAGGCATATGGCAGGCAGGGGTGCTGGCTGGGGGGCTGGCAGCCTCCCAGCCCCCAACAAGTCTTCACTCTATCTGAGCTCTCTGGAGTTTGTTCTGCTGCTTCTCGGCTTCTGCTGCTTGCTTTCTCGGCTTCTCTTTCGGCTTCTTCTGCTTCTGGTGGCGTCCCTGTGATGCCGCCCTTAAAAGCCCAGTCTCAGCCCAGGTGAATCCCATCTACCTACACCCACACCCTACTCCAGGTGCCCGCCATCAGGCATGCATTCAGGACCACAAGGATCCATCATCTATCCTGATGGTGGGAGGGCCGAAAAGCCTGACATTTTTCCTTACCCTACAATATATTAATTGGCATCTCCAATTATATATATATATATATAATTGGAGATGCCAATTAATGCCAGTTAACTGGGTTCTGGTTAATCTGAGGTTTTAATGTTAGCAGAGCAAATTATCTCATCTCTAGAAATATCTAAAATAAATTTATTTTTCTTCTTCAAGTCACTAATCCTTTTAAACTAAAAATATTATTCACAGAGCCATATCTTCAAACTATTTATGAAACCATGTTGTTAACAGTTATCAAAAGTCTTTTCTATACTTCAGTTTGCTGGGTTGAGAGCTGGTGGTTCTGAATGCATAAGTCCTTCCTGACTATCTAGAGAGAACATAAACTCCAAGCAATGAGGAGGATATGGAATGTGAGAATAGATTTAATAATGATGTTGTAGGGTAAAGAAAATGTCAGGCTTTTCTGCCCTTCCGCCATCAGGATAGATGATGGATCCTTGTCCTGAATGCATGCCTGATGGCGGGCACCTGGAGTAGGGTGTGGGCAGATGTAGATAGGATTCACCTGGGCTAAGACTGTGCTTTTAAGGGCGGCGTCACAGGGACGCCAGCAGCAGCAGCAGCAGCAGCAACAGCAGCAGTAGAAGAAGCCGAAGCAGCATAACAAACGCTAGAGAGCCCAGATAGAGTGAAGACTTGCTGGGGGCTGGGAGGCCTGCCAGCCTCCCGGCCCCCCAGCCAGCACCCCTGCCTGCCATATGCCTGGTGAACCCCAAATAAAAAACCTGCAAAACTACTGAGGACTCTGACTCCTCCTTTACCCGGTCTGCATGGGATCAGAAAACCTGCACTGTGTCCGGTCCGGCCTTTACAGATGTGCACAGTCTTAAGCCCTGGATACTGAAGGAAATGGATGGCAGACCACCAAGGCACCGATACTATCACTAATTCATTCAGTAATTTTTTTTTTTTTTTACATTTACTGTGTGCAAATCACTGTTCTAGGGGTCATGGAGAGGATAAGACATGGTGCAGTATCTAATAGGGAAACTAGCAGGATTGCTTTTAGTTTGAACAGGAGCTAGTGTGTCATAGATGCCATATTTGTGGCTCAGAAATAAATAATATGATAATAGGGAAGAGGATGGAGAGGGGAGGAGAGAAGAGGGGTAGAAGGAGAGGGCCTCCCTGGTGGCGCAAGGAGGTAAGCACAGCACTATGAAGCAATCTGCAGCCTCTGCAGCATGAGTTCAATCCCCGGCCAGGGAGCAATCCATATGGTATAACAGACCTCTCCAGTCTCACCCGCTGCTCCCCTCAGCAGTGTATTTCAGTTAATCTGCCTGCTCTGTTCTCCACTCTGTCTCTGATGAATCCTCTTACCCCACCCTCCCCGCACCTCTGACCTGTACCCCAGTTCTTGTATGCATAAATAAATAAATCTTAAAAAATAATAAAAATAAATAATTTTTTAAAAAGAGGGGTAGAAGGAGAGGATGGGAGAGAGGAAGGGGGTGTGGAGGGGAGGGGTCCAAAAGAGGAGGGGGAGGGGAAGAAGCAGTCACTTCTGGCTAAATGATAAGGGCACATTGCACAAAAGGACTGATGTCTGAGCTGATCCTCAAAGAATGTATAAGATTTTAGTATGCAGAGTTGAGAGAGTCCAGCAAAAACAAAGAGGCAGAAATAATGCTGGTCAAGGACTGTGAAAAAAGATGCATGAAGGAGAATTATGACAGAAAAACTTATAAGGCAGACAGGTTCCAACTAAGCAAATCTGTCAGACTAGAGTTTGAATCTTTTTTTAAAATTATTTATTTATGCATACAGGAACTGGGGTATAGGGCAGAGGTATGGGGCAGGGGGCGGGGGAGTGAGAGGATTTACCAGAGACAGACTGGGGAACAGAACAGGCAGACTGACTGAAATACACTGCTGGGGAGAGCATGGGGCAGCTGGGGATGGAACTCATGCTGCAGTGGCTGCTGATTGCTTCATAGTGCTGAGACTTAACCCCTTGCGCCACCAGGGAGGCCCTAGATTTGAATCTTATTCCAAAAAAAATGAATACATTTTGATCAAGGCAGTGGTCAAGAATCCAGACTTTGGCATAATATAGATTCAAGTTCAAATGCTGAAGTCACTTTCCTTACCTCTCCAAGTCTCTGTTTGATCATTTCTGTCTCATAGGGCTGTGATCAGGATTAAATGCAATCGAGGTATAAAGCACTCACTCAGAAAACATTGACCCTCCACCGTGTTAGTTTTACACAATGAGCTTTGTACTGGTAATATAGAGATAAAGGCTGAAGCCCTGTCCTCCAGGAACCCATGAGTCAGTGGGAAAGAGATCAGTAAGCAAAATTTCAAAACAGTGTGAGCACAGGTTAGAGTTGCTGAATTGCTCAGCTCAGAGAAAGGAACAGTAAAGACAGGTAGTGCCTAAGGTACCTGAAAGGAGCCTCTAAAGTTAGGTAATAGAACTTATTATTAAAAGTCAATAATAAGTTAAAAAAAAAAGTCAATAATAAGTTAATATAAGGTAATATAACTTATTGTTACCTGAGATCTGATTATTTTTATTAATCTTTTTTTGTTACACTGTAGTCACTAGAAGAAACAACATTTAAAACTCTGAATGGATTTTCGTTTTCTTACTTGTTTGGTTGACTGGGGTTTATTTCAAAGTCAGAAAATATAGATGGCATGGAAGAGAGTCCCCAGTTCCTCAGCAAATGAAAGGGACTTCATTTGCAATCACAATCGCAGTGGAAGAAGTAAGCAAGCCAAGTTCCTAAATGTGTGTGGTAAAATGAAAGCAATTAAAGGGAAGTTGAGCTAATTTGCAGTAACAAATCTAGGTTACTGTGTGTAGGAGACCAGTTGTGAACATTTGCTGGACTCTCAACCCACACTTATTTCCTCTTTTGAATTGGGAACCCAGTTTTGTTTGTTTGCTTTTCTTTTCTAGAGAATCACATCTTTCCTCATTCTAATTTTCTGTGTTCTGGTGAGGTGTGATTCAGATCTAGCCAATTGGGGCCTCACATTAGCTGTTGTGATTGGTTCAGGGATGGGCCCAGCACACAAGCAAAGCTAGAGAGAAGCAATCTGGGACTTTTTCTGAACCTGTAAAACAAGTTTGTCTTGGCTTTACTGGTCTGCACATAGGCAGTTGTAGGAGCAGCTAGCAGTCATCTCCCTACCATTTCCCATTGCTTGATGCCTGTTGTAAGGGCTGAAATAAACACGTTGCAGGTTTCCTGATCCCATGCAGACCGGGTAAAGGAGGAGTCAGAGTCCTCAGTGGTTTTTTGCAGGCCTTTTATTGGGGTTCACCAGGCATATGGCAAGCAGGGGTGCTGGGGGGCCGGGAGGCTGGCAGGCCTCCCAGCCCCCAGCAAATCCTCACTCTATCTGGGCTCTCTGGTGATCTCGGCTTCTCTTCAGCTTCTGCTGCGGCTTTCTCGGCTTCTAACGTCCCTGTGACACCGCCCTTAGAAAAAGCACAGTCTTAGTGCAGGTGTACCCACTTCAGGTGCCCGCCATCAGGCATGCATTCAGGATCACAGGGTTCCCTCATCTATCCTGATGACGGGAGGGCAGAAAAGCCCGATACCTTTTACCTTACCCTACACCTGTCAACACCGAGGAGTACAGGGATCCTCACCATAGAATACAAAGTCCACAGGACAGGAAACGTGTCTCCTTTTTTAAATGGTAGTTTATCAAGTAATATTTTTAAATGGAGAAATGAATGACAGCAAAGCTGAGAGCCAGGAAAACACTGATTTCTTCTTGACATGTGAGCCACTAAATCCTACCATGTATAAGCCATCACTAATAAGGACTTTAATGACATAGGCAAAAAGAAAATTATCGTTTTATTCTTTTTTGATTAAGGCAGATTTTTTTGTCAAGTCCAATCAAAAGTTTTAAATGGTATTAGACTGCCTGACCCATAGATTAACATTAGCAAACAAATATTGTGAGAAAATTGTTACACTTAGTGGAATTACTTTTGCTTTACTTTTGAAGGCACTTCTGGAAATTCAAACATATTCAAACATCTACTATATTAATAAAATCCCTAGACCTCATATCTACTTCCCCCTACTATTCCATCTATTCTCTCTTTTTTTTTATGCCCAGTTCTAGAAACAGTTTACCCATTCTTTGTTCTTCATATAACAATTCTCAGTTCATAATAACCTGCTTCTAATTCTTTCACCTACCATACTTGTCTTGCTAGAATCAGCAGTGACATTCGTGCTGGTTAACATAATGGGCAGCACACATCTGTTGGCCATAGTTGACCATTTCCAGCTGCTTCCACAAAAGTACTTCCTGTAACCCCCACAGTCTCCTAGATTTCCTGCTATTTTTCTGGTTCCTCTTTCCAGTCTTCCTTGGTTGCTTTACCTCTTCTCAGGATTAGTCCATTACCCAGAAGGAGATGCTAACTGCTAAGACTCAAAGCAGCACTCTTTGGCACATACCAGTGAGCCACTTTAATCATAAAGACAAAACCATTTATACAAACTTGATTTGTTCATTTGGCTTGATATATGCTTGTTGAATGGATTTGTTGCCAGTAGCAAGCACTCTTCCCTTCATTTCCTTTCCTTTCCCTTCTCCTTTCATCTCATCTCTCTATAGTCTCTCTCTCTCATCTTATACACATTCATCCTTTCAATTATTAATTACATGTTGACAACTTCCTAATTTATATATCCATTCAGGTCTCTCTCCTGAGTTTCAGACCCATATGTTTTATTACCTCCTTAACATTTCCAGTAGCTATTACACTGACATTTCCAAATTGAATATGTCCATTGGAACTTGTGGTGCCAAATCTTTCCCTCCTCCAATGTTTCCTACCTCATTAAATGGCTCCACCCTCCTCCCAGTTGCTTAAATTAAAAACTAGGAATCATCTTCAATGTCTACTTATTTCTTAACCTCTTTGACCAACTAATCACCAAGTACTTCAATTCTGTCTCCTAGGATACCTCTCAAATCTGTCTACTGCCTTTTTGTCTTTATTACCATCCCCTGAGTGGCTCAGACCATTCTTAGTTAGCATGGACTGCTATTACAAGATACCATAAACTGAGTGGCTTAAACAATAGACATTCATTTCTCATAGTCACAGAGTCTGATAAGTCCACGATCCAGGGGCCAGTAGATTCTGTTGCTGGTGAGGAACATTCTGGACCTGCTTCTTGACTTGTAGGTGGCCATTTTATTGCAATGTCCTGATGTGGTAAAGAGAGACAAAGCACATACGCTCTCTCTCTCTCTCTCTCTCTCTCTCTCTCTCTCTCTCTCTCTCTCAATCTGTGTCTTCCTCTTCTAATCCTATTATGGGGGCTTCACCATCAGGAATTTATCTAAACCCAATTATCTCCCAAAGGTATACACCATCACACGGAGGGATGGAGGGTAGGACTTCAACAAATGAATTTGGAGGGGGCGGGCATGCACAAACATTTAGACCATACAGAAGTGTATCAATTATGAAGTGGCACAGGCCACATCTTCTCTTGGTTTTTTCCCTCAACTCATTCTCCACAGAGCAGTCAACCTAATCTTTTAAAAATAAGTTTGTATTTGTCAAAACCCTACTAGAGCTTATAATAAAATTCATACTCCAACGTGACCTATAGCTCCCAGTATAGCGAAAGCCTACCTTTATCTTACTGCATGTCTTACTGTATGTCACAATGGCCTCTTCTCTGTTTGCCCTGCTCACTGAGCTCCTTCATGTCTCAGAGATGTTTCGGCTGGTTGTTTCTACCACCTACAACTACCACTATTCTTCCATGGCCAACTTAAACTCATTATTCAGTTTAAAAGCTGCTTCCTTGGGCAAGGATTCTCTGCTCATCCATCAATACATTAAAGTACACTCACCTTTAAAAGTCTCATAGCTTCTTCTTTTACTGCTTCATGACATGTAGCCCAACTATTGTTGAACAATTCCTATAATTATTTGTTTAATGCCTCTCTTCTTTACTTTCTACCCTACCCCAGATCAGGACTTTATCTGAAACCTAATTACCTCCCAAAGGTATACCATCCCATGGAGGGAGGGAGGGAGCTTAATGAGAACATTAACTGAATCAGACTTGCTGATCACAGACCCAGAAACATCCTTGAGAAATATGCACTGAGTGTGAATGGAGGTCTGAATGTCTACTTGAGAATGAGGATGAGTGCAATGGGTTTGGAAGTATTGGTGAAGGAATATTTCCCCTACTTCCTCATAATAAAAGGTTTAGAATCACAATCAGAATATTGGTTCCACCACTAAGAGAATTGTGATTTTGATTAAAATTTAGCCTCGTATTGGGGTCAAGTAGTGGGTAACTAAGGTAGCCTCTAACATACTGGGGCAAAATGCAGCAGTTCGGGCAGACCATAAAGAATCCAACAGACATAGAGGAAAGCAATTTCCCTCTGAATGCCATTCACCAGAATATATGCTGACCACCTGGAATCAATATAACACTCCACTAGCATGCATCAGGGAGCCAGCTTAATCATAAGGCAAAGCCATTTATACAAGTTTTTTGTTTGCTCGTTGATTTGATATATGCTTGTTGTATGGATTTGTGGGAAAAAACTATAAGTAGCCTGACTTTCAATTTGTAACAGACACAGAAATACTTATGTTTCATGAATGTGTCCTTTATGCTCACTTTACCATTTCTTTGCTGTTCATATGGAACTGCAAAGTAAGTTGGAATAAACTTAGAAGAATGGAAATAGGCTTTTAAATATTTACTAAGGAGGAATAAACAAGGACAAGGTATACATTTTCTAAAATACTGCATTTTTGCAAACAAATAAACTTGGATTTGTGAACTAAACTTAAATTAACAAATTAATCTACACTGATTATTTCTTAAGTTATTAAATACTTATTGTCAGGCAAACTCTTCCCTACAAGATGTTTTTCTTAAAAGTATTGAGAAACTTTGTATTTCATACTTGAGAGAAAGCTTTAACTTTCTTTGAAGGAGAGGGGGAATTTGTTTTTAGTTTTTTTGTTTTTTAACTCATGTAAATGATTCCACTTAACATAATTTGTAGCTTTATCAGTAATCTGTTGGTGTAGCATTCCTGCAATATAAAGTGGGACAAAGAGCACTGGACAGGATGTCCTTAAACAGGGCTTCTGATTGGAAATCAGCTGCCACTGCTGAATCATTATCTGAGTCCTTTGGACCTCCATTTCCTTTGCACCTCCATTTCCTTTGCTGTCAAATGTGAGGCCTCATCTGTCCCAAGTCTTTGAATTTAATGATGTTTTCTTTCTTTTGAGTTTATTACTTTTATCTTAAATGGAACCTTAAGAGTTAATAAATCAAAGTATGAAAGGGGGAAATGCTGTTCTAAATCTAAAGTTAGATTTTTGGAAATAAGACTTCTAGATTGAAATCAGATTCTGGCTGAGAATTTGTTTTATTAATGCTCGGGAATTCATAAAAGTAAAGAGAATAAGGCAGGAAAACAGATATTCTACTGCCTAGTACAATAGGAACCAAAACCTCAGTCAGTGGCATGAGAATTAAATGAACTTTCTAATGTATTTTGGTATCCAAGAAAAGTCCTTTATATGATTGCAGTCCATTGTTATAGTAATCTCTTACTTTGGATTATGTTGTAAAATTGTTCTAGTTTCATATTCAGCATTTTTTTTTTTGTTGTTGTTGTTGCTGTCATTTGTTTCTGTTTATTTTGCTTGTAAAATATTTCTTACAGTTAATTTTTTTTTCTATTTATAAGTATTACATAGCAGTATAGCGATTTGTATTCCTGCTGCTTTGGAAGCTCTTTCTGAGCAATACCTGGGTTAAGGTACATAACTGGTTGATGCAAGAGGTGGTTCTTGAGGAAATCCCTTGAGATGCCAAATATGGCTGCTGTTTCTCTGGGAAAGTGTGGCTTCTAAGTTGCCCATAATTTTCCTAGAAAACTTTTAAATGAAATTTGTCCTTTTCTTAGGAAAGCTTTATGTAAAAACTTTTTCCTAATAAATATTTAATCATTCTGTCCTTAAAAATAATTTCATATACTTAATACTTAAAATACTTCAATTGTAAAATAGCTGAGACTACCATGTTTATCATAAATTGACTAAGCTAATATTGATTTACAAAATCTTGGGCCCATGTTTGCTTTGACAGCACATATACTAAAACTTGAATAATACTAAAATGATAGCATGATGCCTGCACAGGATGGTGCCAAGCTCCTGAATCGTCCCATATTTAAAAACAACAACAAGGGCCTCCCTGGTGGCGCAAGGGGTTAAGATGCAACCTATGAAGCTATCTGCAGCCACTGCAGCGCAAGTTCGATCCCCAGCCAGGGAAATACCCACATGGTGCAGCAGACCTCTCCTGCTTTGCCCACTGCTCCCCTCAGCAGTGTATTTCAGTTGATCTGCCTGTTCTGTTCCCCACTCTGTCTCTGGTGAATCCTCTCACACCCCACACCTCTGGCCTGTACCCCAGCTTTTGTATGCATAAATAAATAAATCTTACAAATAAAAACAAAAACAAAACAAACCCAAATCTTGGACCCTATAATATATCGGTGGCAAATTGTTTTTAAGACATTAGACTAATACTCATTCTTCTTAGTGTATGAAAGGAAGTGGTTTATATTTATAAGCACAGTTTGTCTTTATCACCCATTAATTATTGCAACAAGTGTTTTTTACCTTGTAACAGCACTCTTCCAGGTGTGGGAAGTGGTAAACAAAACAGTCAAAACTCTCTGCCCTCAAGGAGTATGTATTCCTGAAGAAGAAAGACAATGCATAAGTAAAACATATCAGAGTTAGATGATAAAAAAAAAAAGACTAAGGCAAACAATAAAATGGAAATGTTTTTAGGGCCTGGGACTGCAATGGCAAATATGAGTGTCACATTTGAATGCCTGACAGAGCAAATGCCTCACAAAATGCCTCACAGAGAAGATTAGAATAAAGACCTGAAGGAGGTAAGGGAGTTAGCCATTTAGTTACCTGGAGGAGAAGCATTCCCAGCAGATGGAAGGGCACATACAAATACTCTGGGGCCGTAGCATGTCTGGCACGTCCCAGAACAGTGAGGAGCCCAATATGACTAGAGCAGAACAAGAAATGTGGGAACAGGAAGAGATGAAGTCAGAGAGGTAAGAGTAGGAGGAAATCATCTGGGGCCTTTTACTATGAATTAGACAGGACCACTGGAAACATTTAAGCAATGTTATGAGTTTTAAGGAATGACATGATCTGATTTTTAAGTTTTAGCGGGATCAAGCTATTGTATTCAGAATGGATTGGTGGAGCACAGGGCTAGGGCACTTTTGCCAAAATCTAAGCAAGTAGGATTGTTGTGCTGGACCACTCCAAGAAGCATCATTCACCCTGAAGTCTCCATGAATTGTACTTCCTATAATGAGTCGTGTATAACCCAACAGTTTCAGTTAGGGACCTTGCAGGCGAAATGGCTTCCACCAGGGTGGATGCAGTGTGAGTGGTAAGAAGTGTTTATATTAGATACATTTTGAAAGTAAAACTAATAGGATTTGCTGACACCATAGTTTTGAGATATGAAAGCAAATATGATTTCAAGGTCATCCATTAATTTTATTAACTATTGATATTTATTATACAAAATACTATTTACTAACGAGGGGTAATTCATATTTATTTTTTAGTTCAACAAGCATGCATTGTAAGTCTACTATTTATTTATTTATTTTTAAAGATTGATTTATTCATACAAGAATCAGGGTACAGGCCAGATGTGTGGGAGGGTGAGAGGATTCACCAGAGACAGAGTGGGGAACAGAACAGGCAGAGTGATGAAATACACTGCTGAGGGGAGCAGCAGGCGAGACAGGAGAGGTCTGCTGTGCCATGTGGGAATCTCCCTGGCCGGCCGGGATCAAACCCGCGCTGCAGAGGCTGCGGACAGCTTCACAGAGCCATGCTCAACCACCTGCGCCACCAGGGAGGCCCGCAAGTCTACTATTTAGTGTATTTTTCCAGATTCTGAAGATTTTTTTTAAAGTACAATAGCAGCAACGACGAAAAATCCTGTCCTGGAAACATTTATAACTTAGAAAACTAGACAATGCCTCCACACATAAAAGAAACAAATTCTGTATAAAGCAACTTAAGAAAAAATATGAGACTAAATCTTGTCAATATAACTTACTCCATTTGGGAAATGGTCCAATTTGAAAAAAATTTTACATATGAGTATATGCCCATATTTCTGATGGCTATACTCCCTCCAATCTGTTCAACAACTTATTCACTGTTTTCCATTAGTAATCTGACTTGTCTGGTTCCTATATTCAAAATGCTGGTCCTACATAAAAGGTTTTATATATGAGATAGGAATTGTTTGTTTTGTTTCATGTGATGTTTTGCTGCTATGTTAGGCTGTTTGATTGCGAAGTCTCAATCTTACCTTGGCCCTTAGTTCTTATGTGCCCGCTTTCTGTCTTGCTAATTTTCAGAACTTCTGACCACTGATCTTACTTCCCCTCTTTAGCATATGAGGACTTTTGAGATCTGTGACTTCTCATGCACTTCATTCATTTCATTGCCACTTCTATGTGGTTTTCGTTTACACAGCCTTCCCAAGAATGACGAGATAGTGAAGATTACGATAATGAGTGTGATGGCTAATATTTTCAAGTACTGACTATGAGCTAGGCACTGAGCTATACTATTTTATACTTTAAATGAATTCTCACAGGAGGTCTCTGAAGTGGGTACTGTCACTATCCACATAAGAAACTGGCCTTTAGAGAGCCTAACATGCCCAAGGTTATTAAGGGTCCACCAATACTACTATGCCACAACATGTCCTTTGGTACCAAATGCATATGAAACATGATTCAGAGTGAGGTTAAAAAAAAAAAAAAGCCAATCCCATTAAGTCATTAAGTTCTCTTAATCAATGAATAACATTTTTTTTTTTAAAGATATATTTATTTATTTTTACAAGCACTGGGTACAGTCAGAAGCGCGGGAGGGTGAGAGAATTCACCAGAGCCAGAGCGGGGAGCAGAGCAGGCAGACTAACGAAATACACTGCTAAGGGGAGCAGCGGGCGGCAGGAGAGGTCTGCGCACCATGTAGGACCCTCCTGCGGTGGCCGGGGAGCAGCCGGGGATTGAACCGGTGCTGCAGAGGCTGCGGGCAGCTTCGCAACCCAGTGCTCAACAGCTGCGCCACGGGGGAGGCCCATGAATAACATTTTAATGACTTATTTGACAGAATTATACACAATAGCAAACCTTCAGTCAATCAAATGAAACCCATTCACATTCTAAAACCTCCTCTGTAGCTGAGTGTGTATAATTACACTTATGTGCTTAGTATAAAGTATCTTTGCTAAGTAAAATACAATGAAATCATGAACTGAAAGCTTTATGCTGATAGTAGTTTCATTAGGGTTTGGTTTTTTGATGTGAAAGTTCATATAAGTGGACGAAACTGCCAACATTTCAAGCTGTCAGCAAGAATGAGAATGTCCTGTCGAAAAGGCTAACGAATGTCAACTTTACTATTCTTGCCTTGTGATTCCCTTCACCTGAACATTACTTCATCCTTCTTTTTTTCTCTCGGGGCGGGATTGGGGTGGGGGAACAAAACCAAACAAACTGAATTTTGACCCTCCTAAGGACTCATATTTGGATTTCTACCTGAATCTGTACTTCTTGAATTGCAATTCTTTGATTCCAAATAAACATGTTTTTTTTGCCTTTTAGTACTCTCCTAATGCTTAGAGCCAATGTACTAAATTATTTTATCAATCATATTTAAGCTATTTTAAAAAGTTTAAAAATCACAATTCCATATTGTGGAAAAAAGAGGAGGTAGTGCTCATGTCTAGCTAAATTGCAAAATGATTTTTCTGATTGCTCCTTCTACAAGTGACCTCTTTTCCTTCTATGTTTATACTGCCATGTGAATGTGTAATTTCTGTCAAACAAATCATTAAAATGATGTTCATTGAGTGGATGCATTAACCTCAGTATAGCACCATATTCAAATATGCACAGAACATATAGTAAACAGAAGCATAATCTTTACAGGTGTTATGGTATAGAAAATGTACCCATTCTTCTGATAAGAATATATGCCCCTGATGATTGTCACCATTCCTAATTCTTTTTTTTTTTTAAAGATTTATTTATTTATGCATACACGAGCTGGGGTACAGGCCAGAGATGCGGGGGGTGAGAGAATCCACCAGAGATAGAGTGGGTGAGACAGATGGGAGAGGTCTGCCTCGCCATATTCCTGATTCTTAATAGGTATAATAAACATTATGCCAAAGGCAGTGTCAGTAATATCATGGCTAATTATTTTCTTCATAGTTGCTTCTTTTGAGGGCAATGATGATTCTATTAGTTTTTCTTAATTTTCTGTCATCTGTGCTCTCCGAAAATGAATGCTAATAATATGTCTACACTTACTTGTGATTTGGCTTTTCTTTCTAAAACTAAAATGATTCAAGGGATATGTGAACATATTAATGAATTTGAAATTTGTCTTCTTTTATATTCAAACTACTTGTTACAGTTTACAGGTTTTGTTTTGCTTTTTTCTTTTGCAAAACTGATCATCAGCATTTACTTTTCTGTTTAGATTCATGATTATGAATTGTTCTGTGGAAAATTAAAAGTAAACATCATGTTGGATTCTTGAAAGAACAAAGTACAGCATTCAATGTGTATTTTCCTTTTTTTACTGTGTTATCTAAAGGTGGATAATAAGGAAAGCAAACCAGTTTGTCTTGTTCTAATCTATGGGAAATACTTCATGGCTATTATTTAATGCAAGTAGCAACTAGAGCAATTTGGAATCTTTTTTGAAACAAGGTGGGGTATAGCTGTAAATATTTTTTAAAAGGCAAAACAGCAGGCTTAAGGCAGCTTTGGAACTGTTGTTGACTTCCTGATGTAGATTCAAAATTACAGGAAATTGCTAAATCCATTTCTTACTATAATCTCTGAACTGATTCTATATTTAAAGTGAAAGTGGACTTAAATAAAATTTGGCAGATCTTTCCTTAACATGTTCATAATATAAATTCATTTGGTTTTATATGAGATCAGGGATTTAGGATTTCTTTATTATCAGTATTTTATATTTAAACTCATTTCATATCTGGGGATTGATATTATCACTTTCATAACAAAGCTGTAGGGAACAGAATTTAGAAAAATATAATGTAAGAATTCCCTCTCAACTATTTTCTTTGCTTACTTCTTTTTTGTCCTTCCCTTCCCCCAACATCCGACCGTTAGTGAGTAAAATGTTATTTCACAAATAGTTTTATGTTTGCAGTTTGCAGTTTCAAAGTGACTTCTTGGAAGTCAAACTTGCATCAGCTTTTTTTTTTTTTTTTTTTTTTTTTTTTAAGTCCTCAACTGTGAAGAGTTACGTTTTCACTTTTGATTTGTTAAAACACAGTATCTTATAAGTGCCTGGACCTTTGATATTTTTAGGCAAAGAAATAGTTTCAAAATTGACAGAAATCTTCCTAAAATTAAGACATACATATTCAAATGATTGGAGGGCCCTTTTTTTCTCTTGTAAAAATACTCTAAGACATTCCCTTTCTTGTGGATTGTATTTTACTGTTTTGATAGCAAGTCTCTGAAACTAGGCTGAATTGGATTGCTGTTGAATCACAATGAGGTAGTATTAATATAAACACACTTCAAGGATCTCAGTCAAACAGCAGTAATGACTGGTTTCAGTGCCAGAGAAGTGATAGGTGCTTGGGAGAAAGGCCTGGAACTAGGGGAAAACTTGGAGAAGGAATGGGTGGGGGAAGGCCTCAATAAGAAGAGACAATGCACTGTTTTCAGAGGCCAGTGGATTGCTGGAGAGGGCATGACCTTTAATTTTTGAAAGGACGTTTATTTGGGAAACTGAACAATGTTCACTTTGAAGGGGTGTAAGGAAGAAATGGAATGTTGTGGAAGTAGTGACTTTAATGGACCCTGGGTGATACGAGAACGTTTGGAGTCGGTTGGTCCTAGGGGGTGGGGGGAGGAGGCGAGGGTCACACTGAGAGGCCCCGGATCAGCCCCCGGGAGGCGGAAAGGGGGCTCCTGGGGGCTCCTGACAACGACGCGGGCGGGGGAAGTGTCGTGGGAAAAAGTGGAGTTCGGCGTGGGTTTCTGTCTCCGCGTGTAAAGGCGGCGCAGAGAGCCGCGCGGGGCATTTCCCACTCGAGGGGAACGCCGGCTGCGCCCGCGCCGCGGCCCCGCTCCCGAGGCGGCCGGCCTCCCCCGCGGCCCGGGCCGCGGCCCTCCCGCCCCGGCGGAGCCGCGCGGTGGATTGTGGGCTGGGGGCTGCGGAGGCCTCGCGGCGGCCTCCGGCGCTGTCTCCCCGGACCTAGCCGGGCCGAGCTGGGCCGGCGGGGTGGGGAGAAGCAGTGGAGCAGGGAGCAGAAGCGCGAGGGGTAGTGGTCGCGGCGCGGCGGCGGCTCCTCTGGAGGCCGGGGATGTGGGAGAGGCGGTGGCAGCAGCGGCGGAGGCGGCGCTGCGGACCCGGGGGAAACTGCTGGCTGACAGGACACCCGGGAGAGACGTGAGGGAGCCGCCGCTGCCGCCTCTCACCCCCGAGCGGAGCTGGGCTCGAGAGGGCGGCCCTGTGCTGCCCCGGCCGACGGGCTAGCCGGCGCGGGGCGGGGGCGGGAAGCCGGGCTCGGGCCCAGCCGGGCTCAGGGCGGCGGCGGCCGCGGAGCAGCAGCCTCGGCGCGACGTGGAGGGCTGGAGGCGGCGGCGATGCACTAGGCCTCTCTCCGGGGCGGCAGCCCGCGACCCGCAGGTAGGTGCCGGGCGGGCCCCCCTCGCTCGCCGGCGTCTCGCTGCCCACCCTGACCGGACCCACTGAGGAGAGAGGGACCGAGACCCCACCCCCTCTGTCTCCTCCCCGGCCCTGGGCTGACGGAGTTTCGGTCTCAACTGACCGGCGCCGAAGCTTCCATTCTCCTCTCGGCCACCCCTCGTCCTCCCTCTCGCTCTCCCTCGGCGGTCGCGGCCGGCGCCTGCTGTGCTCCCTGTTTCCAGCCGGCGGCCGCTCTGGCCCCTCGCTCCACTCTCGCGGATCCGGCGGTGGAACTTCCACCAGCCTCCTTCGGTGCTGCCCCAAACTTTGCCTTTCTTTTAACAGCTGGGCCTTTATCTCCCTTTCGAGCCTGCTGGAATAATTTAAATTTTAAAAATGAGTTTTCTTCCCAGGGAAGGCGGACCCAAAGAATTACTCGGTGTTTTGCAGTTTAGCACTCACTATTTTGGTCATTAATTAATTTTCTTCAGTTTTGCTTCTTTCTATCTGCATTGATACAAAGGTAGGCCTCCCCTGCCCTCCCGGCGTTGACACGGGAACTTTTGCCTGCCCATTATAATTAACCACTTAGTCTGTCCAAATGCTGGTATTTTTAGAATTTTCCCTGACCCGGATGGCAAAATTAAAAAAAAAAAAAAAAAAACCCTTTAACGAGTTTTATTTTTGGCATTTATTGAGGCTTTTCTTACTTTCGAAGAATTAAATTGTTTTGAGGGTTTTTTGTTTGTTTTTAATTGGCTCTATTTCTGATTTGTCAATCCCCAGGGAGATCTTCATTAGCAAATGCTTGCTAAGCAAGTGATATCGTGAGAGTATGCTGAGAAATGCTAGTGTGGTAACCTAAACTGTAGATTTTGATGGGTATTCAGGTTGACTTATAAATTCGATGGAGAGTTGTAATTGGAAAAGTACCTTGAGAGCCTTGATTTCTAAGCAGTTATGCTGGAACAGATGGAATGATGGGATATGTTTGTTTGACTGTATTTGTATTGCAGTAAGGGTCTTATTTCCTAGAAATAGCTATTACTTGATGGTTCATAGTGACCAACATTGCTCATTATAGATTTTAATTAAAATGATCAATATGTGCAAAGTTTAGGGGATTGATAATGGTGGTTTGGAGGGTTAGATGTTTTCAGTTTCATTATGATTTGGCTGTTTTAAAATGATTCTCCAGTAACTTCAGAATTATTTCATTATCAGGGAGAGACATTCAGTCTGAGGATCATTTTTAAAATAAACAGTATTTTAGTGATTTTCTTTATTAAGAATGAATCACTACAAATCTTTAAGAACTGACCATGTTTTGTCGTTTCGAATATTCCTATATTGTGTTTTCTAGAGCTCACTCTAGCATTTAACTTTCTGAAATGTTCTTCATTGCATTCAAATTATTCAAAGTTTACCCAAAAAAGATAATATGTTTGCTTTGTGGAAAAGTTAAAATTTATTTCTTGATAGGTTTTAAGTTTTTATGTCCGAATTAAAATAGATCTTATATAACTCAGGAAATAGCAAACTTTGTAGAATTTGTTTGCTTTTTTTGGTAACTATGAACATATTGTTAGTTATCTATTACTGTGTAACAGGTACACCCAAATTTAGGGGCTTTAATCAAGAGTACGCATTTATTCCCTTACAGAATTTCTAAGGGTAGGGAATCCAGGAGTAAATTAGGGTGGTTCTGACTTGGTATATCTCAGAAGTTTAGTTAAGAAGTTCGCTAGAGGTTGCAGCCTGAAAACTTGATTGGGCTTGAAGGGTCTGCTTCCAAGATCACATACTCACATGGCTTTAGTGGTTTGGCCTTCCCTCAGGGTTGCAGCATCCAGCTTTTTGATAGGACCTCCTGGATGACTTCCAAATTATAGGTAGGGGGTGGGGGGAAATCTTTTGTACCCCTCTGGGTTCTTGGAGTCTGGCAAATTGATAAAGGAAGAAAACCAAAATGAAGTTTAATAGTAACATATACACCCTGTTGAAACTAAGTAACTCAGAATTTGTTCTCAATCACATTCTATTTCCTGTCAGTGAAAGTTAATTAAAATTCCTCTTTCCTGTGGTTAGCTTTTTACAGACGTTTTTGAAATACCATTAACAAACCATAAAGTGTGCCCATTTAACCGGTATATTTCAGTGATGTTTAGTATATTTTCAGAGTTGTGAAACCATTATCTGAATCTAATTTCAGAATATTTTCATCACCTGGAAAGAAATCTTGTACCTATTACCAGTTACTCCTCATTCTCCCCCACACCTTTCCAAAACCTAATCTGCTTTCTATCTCAGTATTTGCCCATTGTCAGCTCATAATCTCAAAAATGGTTCTTTTAAAATCAGTTTATTTGTTTAAAATACTTTGTGTCAGAACAAACAATTGATTGTTGGCATTAGTAAGTGATGTTTTGAACAACTGACAAACTGGTTGTAGTCAGCATATTTTTAATAAGTTTGTAGAGAGAAAAAAGTCAGTGTGCATGGCTTCAGTGACCCTAAGAGGTGGTTTGGTCAGCTGGGTGTCAGTAAGATAAAGTTGAAGGAATACTTTTTGCCATTGACTATTAGGATATCAGGTCTGGAAAAGATATTAAAGGTCATCAACTTCCTGCTTGCTTTACAAATAGATGACAGGAACCAGATAAGGAAATCTGAAGAGTGGAAGCTTGAATCTGTAGAATGCATGGCTCAAGAATCACAATGAGGCCATTTAAGGCAAGAAAGGTTGATTTGAAATTTTGAATTGTTTAGCTTCTTCTGTGTATGTGCATGTTGTATGTATGTATGTATTTGATATTTTACTATCAGAGTAGGGATAAAACTAGACATTTCAACTTCGGAGTGGGGAGGAAGGAGGAGTTTGTATTCATGTAGATGATACCCATTTTTCAGAATGGTCTAGAAATGCTTTGACCTAAACGACTAATGTATATATATTATTCTAGTGTCTTCTTACACTATTACCATCTTATTTTGACACCACCAAATCTTAAAAATAAAATTGGTTTTAAAGATTATTAATTAACAGGGCTATTTGAAGGCCTTCTTTTTCAACTGCCTGGCACCCTCACATCTAAACCAGTAGATCTTAGGGGCCTCCCTACTGGTGCAGAGGGTTAAGACATAGCACTGTGAAGCTATCTGTAGCCACTGCAGCACAAGTTCGATTCCCTGAGGTCAGCAAGGTGACTCACATGGCACAGCAGACCTCTCCTGACTTGCCTGCTGCTCCCTTCAGCAGTATATTTCAGTCAGTCTGCCTGTTCTGTTCCCCACTCTGTCTCTGGTGAATCTTCTTGCCCCCCCACCTCTGGCCTGTACTCCAGTTCTTGTATGCATAAGTAAATAATCTTAAAAAAAAATTAACCAGTAGATCTCAGAGATGATTTTTTCCTTTTTTCCTCCAAAGGACATTTGGCAATGTCTGGAAACATTTTTTGGTTGTCACAACTAATCTAGCCAGGGATGTTGGTAAATATCCTATAATGCACAGAATATATCTCCCACCCCACTCTTACCTCCCACATAAAACAATGAACATAGCCAAAATATCAATGGTTTTGTTCTAAATTTTTGTGGTTTGCATGTTTTTGATTCTCACTAGTTGGGGAAATACTCTCAGCGGGCACCATTTGATGGATTGGATTAATACTTTAGATCCTCTAGCTATTCTCTTTGTAGGAGGAGGCAGTTGAGGGGGAAGTAAAAGGAAATTTATTTATGACATAATGAAAATATTCTTTGTTTACTATGTCTTCAAATCTGAAGAAAAAAATTTTTTTTTCTGAAATGAGAATCTACTTTTACTGCAGATTTGAACTACTATGTTTTCAGTTGTTGGCTACTGGTTCATAGGTTATTGAAATTGGAAATAGATAAATAGTAGTATTTCCTTTCTCTTGAGGTGATTTTTTTCCTGGTAGCTTCAACTGCCAAGAAAGGAGAAGTAAGCTAGGTGTTTTAATTAATTAGTTAATTACTTGATTATGTATGTTGTGAATGTCCCCTCACACTTTCATCTTTTTTCCCCCCTTTTTCTTACAGGTCTTCCTCTGACTAATTTTTTTTTAAATAAACTTGCTTTGGCAATGAAGGAGAAGATTTGACAGTTGAAATCACTTTTGCTATTTACCAGCCTTATGAACTTTCATAGCCTCAATTTTCTTATGTATAAAGTAGGAATAGTGATAATTCCTGTATTATAAAGTTACTGTGAAAATCAAATGAGATAATGTGTGTTAAGATGCCATGCTAACCATAAAATACTGTACGAGAGTTAGTTACTTGTTTCAGAATTATCAGGTTAGAAAGGGATATTCCTGGCAAAGACAGGAAGATAATAAAGATAGCATGGCAGAGAGGAGTGACTGCTGACAGACCTCTCATGAAGAGAGAGAAAATTTAAAAATATATTGATAACAAACCAGTAAAACACTAGCAGTATCACTATACTCTTAAACTCTTTAATATAGGGCCAACCCAAACCCTACTTCCTTCAGTAGTGCCTGAGAGTATCACAGTTATAGCACAGTGTAAGTGACTATTGTAATGACGAGATTAGGTTATTAAGAAATGGTTATCTTGTTTTCAAAATATGCTATTTGAAATATGAAAATATGTAATTTATTTCAAAATTAAATTTTTCAGAAGTGACTTATTTGTACAGAAAATTTCAGCCTTTTCAAGAGAAACTTTCAGTTATCTGGATTAATCTCCTTGTTGGGATAATTCCATCTGTCTTCATTTATTGTTCATGCTTTCCTTTATATTTGAAGGGTTTTCTACCAGAGGTAATTGTTCCTCAAATGTGAGGATTTAACTAAAGAGAAGGTTTTAAACCTTCATCTCTTTCTGAATTTCTTTTTTTTCTATTTATCACCTTTTTTTTTTTTACACAAAAAAAGTTTCTACATGTCAGTCCATAGTTCTGCTGTAGCATTTAGGGTTGAATTGACTAAAATATGTGAGATGAATGGTGAAAAATGTACTCTCTTGAATTTTGTTAACTGGTCAACTTTCACAATCATAGGAAAGCAAGACTGGATATAAATAGTGCTCCAGTAAGAGTTTCAGTAAGATTTTTCTTGGGTAGTTTGAAGAATAGTCGCAGACAGTATTCAGAATAAATCATATATGGTATTACAGTGTTCCCCCTGCCCACAATACAGTGAATTAAAAAATGGATCTTGGAAAATTGGGTGAAGTTTTCATGGCAAAATGCTGCTGATTTAG